AGATGATATAGCACTACTACAGCCAACAAAAACGCATATTGTCGAAAGGCTGTTTGTGTGTGTGTTCGGAAGCGAGTGCATTTTGTCACCCAATTTCATCTCAGCAACCAGGAAAGCTGGGAGGCTGAAACCTTGGATATATGTTCCTACCCCGTGTGCCATCCTCCCGTTTTAAGATCTTTCTCATAAGCGCCTAAACCGGCGTACAGGACCCCCAAAGAAATGTGTTGGCGGGAAACGATTTCGCGAACCAGGCAACGTAGAAAGCTGTAACTTTGCAGGGATATTCTCTACGCACATGCGAACTAAAGATTTTAAACTCAGCTGTCGAGTCCCCCAGCCACAGCCTGAAGCAGCTCCTCAACCCAAAAATCGCTCGCAACTCCGACTTGAACCGCAATCGTGTGTGCATATGAACACGGATTTTTTCAAAAACGACCGTCCGAGCAATGCCTCCAATTTTTAATGAACTCGGAATGCGCATTTTTTTCAAAAAGTCGTTCGCCGAGCCTGAACCGCAATTGTATGTGTAAATGAACATGGATTTTTTGACAAATGACCACTCGAGCAAAATTTCCAATTTTTCATGAACTGGAAATTTGCAATTTTTCAAAAAATTTGCATTTGTCATTTTTCACAAGGCGAACATTTACCGAAAAAACGACCGAACTTCATGCAAAAAACCGGTAATCATGCACCTGAATGTCCGTACCGCTCTATAATGCACTGCCTTCATCCCAACTGACGCCCTTCCTCCTGCATGCCAGAAAGAATCAAAGCACGCCATTATGACCCAAGTGTTAGGCTACAGAATAGGGATCATTCCTGCTAATAGCGATCAGCGAGTTTAGTGCAAAAACGCATGATCGCATCGACTCGCCTGATGCGTTCCAGCGTGGGTCAGTTTTTTGCATGAAGCCCGGTCGCTTTTCTGGTAAATGCTTGCCCTTCGAAAAAGTGTAAATTTCCACTTCACTGAAAAGTGGAAATGTTGCTACAGAGATCATTCGTCAAAAAATCCAAATATGTAAAGGAGTTCATTTACATACTGGAAGAGGATGAGGGCAGTCGTTACATACAAAATGCGCTCGTTTCAGATTTTTCGGTAAATTTGAGCATTTCTTATGTTCACTTGCAGGGAATTCCACTTCCAAGCAGATTTAAGACCGCACTTGAAAGGAGAATGCCCCATCGAAGTTTCAGCCTTGCACTTCATCCGATAAGCGAAATAGCCACTTTGCTACAAATGTCTTTGAACTGCCTTAAATCGCGATGCAAATGCGAATCGGCACTCATTTTAAGTATACGATTTTCTATATAGGAGACAAACATTCTGACAAAATTTCAGTCACTGTTTTCCGGTAAGTTTTCGAGTTATCACAGTACCAAGTTGCAAAATTTGACGTGATCACAAGTGCGGTACAAGCGTGCGCGGTAGCTGGATTTAACATCTTTAGCTCGCACATGCACAGAGAATATCAGCTGCAAAGTTTCAGATTTTTACCTTGCCTCGTTCGTGAAATCGTTTCCTGCCAAAGAAATTTGCATATTTTTTTCGGGATCTGTACGCGAGGTTAAGGTGCATATGAAGGTGCGTATGAGCGGAAATTTTAAAACAGGAAGACGATACACGGGGTAGGAACATGCACCCAAAATTTCAGGCTCCCAGCTTTCCCGGTGGCCGAGATGAAAGCGGGTGACAAAGTTTACTCGTTTCCGAACACACAGACGATCTTTTCACAGTATGTGTTTCTGCTGGCTGTAGCAGTGCTACAGCGTTGCTATAGTTCTGCCCAGCAAAAGCGCATAATAAACAGCGACGCGCGCCAAGATAGCTGGTGCGATCATGCGTTTTGTGCAATTTTGTCTAGTTGACGCTTGTGCGACTGTGTACAAGAGAGCCACGCTGTTAGAAACGTTTAATGCTTTATTATTTGATATGCACAGAAATTTTTATGGTCCCCGCATTATCAGTTTTGGTGACAAAATTTCCACGTGTCCATGCTTGGGATACAAACGTGTGCTGTAGTCGAAAGGCAGGTAGAGAGAATTTTCCTATAACATCAACCTCCCAGCTTTTGTTGTCCCCGAGTTGAAAGCTGCGGGCAAAATGCATTCACAAACAAACACACACACACAGACACGCCTGAGACGACATGCGTTTTGTGCAGTTGTGACGCAGCATAGAACGCTTAAAAACCGGTTAAACAGCTTATTAAAAGTGTAAGGCGAATTCATCGCCTTGCTCCCCTACCTCCCATCCCAAATGATGAAACCTTAAAAATAAAATAAAATAAAGAAAATGATTTGTCATCTTTCGATGACATTCCAATGTGATGTCGGGAATCGACGCTCCCAGCGGAAATCGGATCTCCGACAGGAGTCCGATTCCCTCGTTCCCAGACTACTTATCCTCCCGCCGCTCTTCCCACCGATGAGATCTACGATGGTCAAATCCCTTCCTTCATTCCCATGCGAAACATTCTCAATCCTCGTTGTCGGAGATTGTGACTCATGATATTACTTGCAGGAAGAGCAGTATATAAGCTCGAGGATCGGATGTTCGGGGTCCGCGTTCACCTGCTTTCGACAGTGCCGGCTGACACACTTCGCTTCGTCTGTGATCTATTTAATCTTTATTCTACCCTCGTACGCCTGTAACTAGTATCGTGTGTAACAAAACTTATCCTAATTTAGTTTGGCCCGACATCTTCCAGGGGTATTTCGATCTACTGACATACGCGGCACTTAGATTTATTGAATTCAATAAACACACTTTTTCTTAAGATAATCCCTTTAACAGCATTCAACCATTCCAGTAAATTTAAGTTACATCCAGTATTTTTTAATGCACTTGGCATTTGACACGGTCATCAGGCTCTTAATGGCTAGGAGAGCAAGCGTGTTTTCATCTTTCTGATAAAATTGCTTTCCATATTAACTCTCAGTGAGAAGCGGCGGCGCTTCGGATGTGGATGTGGCCAACAAGCAATCAGGCTGCAAATTCAAAGAACTTTTGCTAAAATAATTGCTTTTCAATACCTCACTATCTTGTGCTTAATCCCTACAGTGAAAGCCTCCTGAATTTCTTTCTTCATATATATTTAAATTTTTAATTTGTTAATGCACTCCCATATTCTCTGTTCAAGCATCCCACTTTGCGTTTTCACCAGTTCTCTGAAAATGGATCTACTTGCAGTGTCTCGCTCTCATACAGCACCATTGTAACATATTATACTTGCCTTATAATTATCGATAATTTGTTGCTGAGTTAGCTTCAGATGCTTCTGGCAGGCGCCCTGATTGCAAAAACAACCAGTGCGCACTTCGATACCGAATAAATCGCACATTTTTTCTACCTACAAACACCAAAAAACTGAGTTAAGTGACGAAATGCAGGACTAGATTGTGTTTTTTTTTTTTATTTGCTTTTATTCGGGAGCTTGAATTTCTTTGTTTCGCAAGAAGTCAGAATTATGAAGATGCTACGGTAATAACACATGATAACGATAATCTGGGTTGAGAAGAGGTAAATTAACCAGTTAAAGTCCTATATAAAATGAATACTTCACTGTAGCCAGTATATGATCCGTCACACCGGAGCAAATTGAAAGCAACGATTGGCCCTTGCGCTTCACTTTCACTGTAGTTCTTATGACAACAGTAAACTTCTGCAAGTGGTTTGCCGCTTGGAAATTTCAGTTCCATTAGAATCTGATATGCTGCATATGCTAGTGCGTGTGTTTTCTGCTGTATTGCTCTTATACCTCCTGAAAGTAAAGTAACAAAGTGTGACAAGAAAAGAAAGTAAGAAAAAATAAACTTACCATATCTTCCGATATCCTCAAATCCGCGTTTAAGGGCCGCGATGCCCCAAAAATCAATTGTACCATCTTCAGATCTAAACGAAAAGATGTTTCTGCAATTACAGGGCTTCTGAAATCAAATGTTTTTGTAACCAAAAGGCCTTAAAATCTTTACGATGTATGAAACAGCATGACTTCTTCATTTTTTAATGCATTTTTGCATATACGCAAATGCTAAAACACATTTTGGCAAGAGGCTGCCTGTGCTTTTAAGTGTCCGCATTTTTTGTTACCCACTTTAAACTTGAGAACCAGAATCGCTAAAGGATTGGAACTTCGTATGTGCCAACCACCAGTGCGACCCACTCGTTCTAATATCATCATCACCCGCCTGCGCCTGACTGCCGCAAACGAGCGCCTTAAAAAAATATGCAAATTTTTTGGCGGAAAAGCGATTTCGGAGACCAGACAAGATAGAAAGCTGAAATTCTGTACGGATATTCTCTGCGCTACTGCGGGCTAAAGATTTCATATTCAACCAATAACTGTGCATGGTTCTCAGGCACTGTCACGTGAAGGTTTTGGCGGGAAAGTTGCTAACTCAGCAACCAGAAAAGCTGTACGGCCGAAATTTTGAGGGCATGTTCCCCGCCCACATACAACTTAACGATTTCAAATTCAGCCTTCAGATAAGCGTTGTATTTACGTACGGGCATGTGAAAGATTTGGCGAGAAAATGCCAATTCAGTGACCAGAGAAACTGGAAAGATGAAATTTTAGGGGAATATCACCTGTCCAAGCACAACTTAAAGATCCCGAATTCAGCCTCCTGGCCGCGTATGGGCACTTAAATTTTTGGCGGGAAAATTGCTTGCTGAATAGCTAGATCATTATGCGTTTTTGCCTATATGCAAATTGCAAAAACGCATATTGGGACGACCCTGTCTGT